AGTGTCTAATGAATGCAAGTGTGGATCAAAGTGTGCCATAAATGCCAGACATTTGCCAATCAGTTGGCGATCACTGAGTGACCGGAAGTCCAATTCGAGTCCATTATTCCATTGGTTGGCAACTATTGTCTCGTTTATGTTGTCCCAGTCGTGACAGTCGTCCGACTCATCACTAAACAGGTCCTCAAGTATTGACAGATATCTGTGTCTGAAGTAAACGCTGAAGAAATTGAATTTATAAGACCTGACGAGTAGTGCGAAAACCATTTGATCCGCGTTTTGGTGCACTCTTCGAGTCCTGCGGTTATGTAAAGCGGAAGCAATGGAATCGCCGATAGTTTGAGATCTTTGCCGATCGTAAGCCATGTGTTCGCTGCCGATGACTATGGCTTTGACGACAACATTGCAGACAATGGTCTCATCCCTACATAGAGTCGCGTCTGGAGTCGAGTAATAGTTTGCGTTTTCAGTCAAACGGAAGTCCAGTTTCGGTCGCTTTTGACACTTCAGGGGAACTCCAGTCAACACTTGCGACACAAACTCCAAGACATGGCGTTTGGAGACATTGTTTTGGCTATAGTTCTGTAAAACGCTTTCAAAACTGTGTTCAACAGACGTGTCGTCCCATTGAAGACCTGATTGCGAGACAAACACAAAGACATGGTTTGAGACAAACGACTCATCACTGAAGAGGTGTTTGATTACGGCTTTGAGTGGCGTTTGAGTTGTCGATGAAGTGGTGGACATGTGTTAAGCCAATGGACTTGAGATGAATGGCAAACAACTGCAGAGTTTGTTGAGTGAAGTAATGGGTATTATTGAGACCAATGTATGAGATGTCCCGCAATAACACTGCAGTGGATGACAGCATGGCTTACATCAAGTCATCGATGGTATCAAACAAATGACAAACCATTCAAATCGGATGTCTTGACGTCTTGACACAACTGAACCAATGTATGACATGTCCCGCAATAACACTGCAGTGGATGACAGCATGGCTTACATCAAGTCATCGATGGTATCAAACAAATGACAAACCATTCAAATCGGATGTCTTGACGTCTTGACACAACTGCTTGACATCCAAAGTGTCGCAAAAGCGACTGAAAATCAGTCTTTTGGTGATATTGTGAGATAACATCGGAAGCATTGGTTTGGCTGTAAATGCTATGCATTTGCTTAACACAGACATCATTACCATAATTGTCATCAATTGTATGAAAAAGCCTTAAATGACAACAAATCTGAATGACATCTAAAAGTTGACAATTTGTGCCAACATTTGGTGACACAATGTGTGAATAGGTTCTCAGTTTGCAATCACTTTCACTAAACGCATGCCTATGTGTGGGGGCAGTGAAGGGGCACTCAATGAAAGCGTAACGCTATACGTGTGTGAATCATACGATTGTGTCATTCATTCAAACATTGTTTACGAAAACAACACATTTGTGGCCAAAGCGTGGATCCATTGAGTGATCACTCGTTAAACTCAATTAACAAGCGAATCGGTGGTGAATATCTGGCGCGGGATGTGTTGTCGTGGCGGTAGACGTGCGATGGGAGTGGTGTTGGTGTGGGGGATGATGTTGGGGGGAACGCCAGCCCAAGTGAACCCCAACTCCCTGTGGCTGAACTCACGAGGAATGTGGTTGTCGTACGCCTGCGGAGTACTGGTCCTCCATCTGGCGCTCCTCTCCTTCCCCTTCCTATCGGTGGCCACCGTCTGGACCCTCACTAATGTCATCCATAATCTGGTGATCCATTTGTTTGTCTCATGTCTTGAGATAATTATCTGTTTATATTAGTGTCTCTTATGACGGATAATGAGTCTAATTGTGTGTCAAATGCAAAGTCTAGCCATTCGTGTGATATCTGGTGTGATGTGGACTTCATTTCGTGATTGCATTCACCAGTCGTTTCATAGGAAATCATTTTATTGTAGAAATTAATTAACTTTTTGTTGCTTTCATACCACGTGTTACGCAATCATCCATTTGTTTGCATGTATTTAAACAACTGTTGTGTTTGTCAACACATTTATGACAAGCGTTTGCGTTTGAGAGCTATTTTGTGGCTATAATTATGCCACACATTGTCTCTATTGGGGCTAATTATGCTAACTCTTTGTGTCTACTGTACTGTACGTACTGACAGGTGATGTTCGTGTTCCTGCACGTACTGAAGGGCACCCCCTGGGAGAGTGGAGATCAGGGGAAGGTTAGGAAACTGACGCATTGGGAGCAGATAGACGATGGCATTCAATTCACTTCCACCAGAAAGTTCTTAACAGTGGTTCCCATTATATTGTAAGTATAAGTCGTGTCTGTAATCCAATGAATGATTATGTGATCGACCGGTGCGGTGGACATGCATTTCACGTGAGACTCGAGTGGCATTTTAACTAAACCATTGATAATGACTTAATAATGAATTTAAATGCCATCCCCTGTGCGGTGTATGTCCGCCCACTTTGCATCATTCGACTCATTAGTGTATTATTTGATTGTTTTTTAATGATTTGTCAAACGATTAGGTTTTTTCTGACGAGTTTTTACACGAAATACGATTCCTTCCACTTTGTGGTCAACTTTATAGCCCTTCTGTTGGTGTTGTTACCAAAATTACCACAATTTCATTGCGTCAGACTCTTCGGCATCAATAAGTACTGAACCCAACTGTCTGTCCCGACACATCGAGTGCTGTACTTCCGTAATGATATGAATTTGAATTAGTTTTGTAATAACTTTTGTTAGTTATATGAGTAATAATCAAATAATGACAACAAAGTGAAAATATAATTATTATTGTATTTACTGTTAATAACTTTGAAATATATGAATTGAATAAAATTGATTTTTATTTTAAAATAATTATAGCATTTGTTTTTTAGTTGCATTATTAGGTTTTATTAATGAATATTGTGATCATGTGTTGTTTACATTTAATGGACTTTTCTAGAAATTAATTGTGAAAATTATTTTTACAATATGATTTATAAAGTAGCGTCATTTTACATAACTACCGGTATAAGTTAAGTCATTCATACTGTACCTATTTGTATAAATTTAGATAAAATTCTATACTTACCGGTAATAATTAAAAATATTTTAATATACACGTTATGTGACAAAATTAATAAATTATGAATAAGCAAACTCATCACATTTCTCATACTGTAGTAATTGTCTACCTGTACTAGGCAATTATACTGTATTATGTAATCTAAAGTTGATTATAATTGTACATTCATAATAATCACAAACTATACTGGTACTTCTAACTGTTGCTGTTGTTTGTTGTGGACTAAAATTTATTGTTTAGTATTTACAGAGTTATTACTTACTGTTATAAATGGCATTATATAACAGTTAATGCGATAGTTATTAATAAACAAATGTGTAATAAATGTATATTTAATGAAAAACACAGTAATTGTAGGGAAAAACTTGTTTCGGCAGACAATTGACGTCATGTATTGATTGCGTTATGAAATGCAATGTTTTTTGTGTGCAAAAAGTCAATGCCATAGAAACCAATGCTTTGTAAATACAGGCATTCAGTGAAACACAATCTAATCACTGTTTAGTATTGTTTTCATTATTGTTGTCATCATTGAATCCTTTGGACACCAATTGGTTTAATCGTCACCACAAGTACTTACCAACCATTGACACACTGTTTGACGGCATTTCCAATAATAGCATTCATTTGGGATTCAAGTGAAAGGTTTGTATGTTTTTTGTTGTCATTTTCAGCGAATATCTATATTTAAAGCAATTTTCAGACAAAATGTCATTCAATGCAATCATATAGCGATCTATTGGTTATCTATTCAATGCTATTATGGCATTGAATTTGCATTCATTACGAGTGAATACATGTTTATTCATTTGTTTATATATTTTACGCTAACATCTCATTGCCTTAACATTTCATATGAATATGATTACCAAATATAGTGTTATAGTTACTGTTAAAACAGTGATTGCATTGCATTTCATTTGATATATTTGTTTAGATTTGATTCAATCAAATAAACTGAGATTACATTACATTTGGATGAGTGGTCGCACCGTTAGCTCACTATAACATATACCTCACAGATGTCTCAATACCAACAACAACAGCCATACCCGCCCTACGGACAGCCGGGTTACGCACAGCCAGGCTATGCGCCCCAGTTTGGTGGCTATCCGGGTCAGTTTGTCTATTATTATTATATTATCAATTTTCTCAATTAATATCTCATTGAAAATCTAATTAAATGTTTGTACAGCCGGTGCCCAACCGCCACCGCCTGGCTTTGCAATGCCCGGCCAACAGCCGCCCAAATACGGCGACCCATACGTGGGCTACAGCAGTGGTGGGGGTGCGGGCGGATCGCATAACGTGAACATCGGGACCCCCAATGACACGGATGTCAACAATTGGGCCGGTTTTACAGACAAGAATATCCGGCGAATGTTTGTCCAAAAAGTCTATTCAATACTTAGTCTTCAGCTGTTCGTCACATTCGGCATAACAGCCATTGTTGTCCTCACGTATGATATCATCGACTGATGTCTATGTTGTGATGATTTGACTCATTGTATGTGATTTGCAATCCCAGGCCACCCATCAAGCTCTATGTCCGACAGAATATGTGGATATATATCCTCTCATAGTATGTGTTGATTGACTCGATTTGTGATTATTTTCATGTAATTGTCTTTAAATTTGTATCAAATCGTTATAGTATTGTGTTTTTCACGCTTTACATAACTCTGATGTGTTGCAAAGGGCCCCGACGTAACTATCCCACTAACTTCATACTACTGTCCCTTTTTGTGAGTATCATTACAATGCCATTGTGTTTGTTATTAATCCATACCATCATTGGATTGACAGACGGTTGCCCTGAGCTTTATGGTGGCGATGATCTGCTCTTTCCATGACTTGACAAGTGTTTTGATCGCCGCCGGTATCACAGCCCTCTGCTGTACCGCAGTCTCTGTGCTCTCCTTCTGGACTAAAGTCAGTATTTTTTACACAATTTGTTTGACAATAATATCTAACCTATTGATGACTTACTGTCCGACTGTTCAGTTTGACTTCACTCGGTTCGGGTGGGCGCTGGGCATCGCATCCCTCGGACTCTTTATTATGGGAATCTGTATGATTTTCATTAAGGTCAAGATCCTCTACATCGTGTACGCAGGTCTCGGAACCGTCATCTTTATGCTCGTATGTCTTGTTTGCCATCATTTTGTCTCACATTTTATTGACAATTCAATTAATCGTTTACGCGTTGTATGAATGGTATAGTTCTTGGCTTATGACACGCAACTCATTACCGGCGGTAAGAAGTATGAGATCAGTCCCGAGGAGTACATATTGGCCTCTATTATGCTGTACGTCGACATCGTCTACATATTCCTAATGATCCTACAACTGGTCAGCGCTGGAAGGGATTAATCATAAGACATACAGTATCTGGTGTTCAAAAGCGGTTGTTTTGCACTAACTTTTAAATTACTTTTTTGCGATAATCGGAATTATAACTACCGGTAATAGTTTTCAAAACTAATTCAAACAACAAAATATACTTTTTAACCGTTTATAATACTATAAAATTTATAAATTTAGTTTTATGATATTTACCTGTTATTTGCTGTGTACCGTAATATACTGTTGCATATCAGTCTAATTTATTTAATCCAATGGGAGGGTATTATAGCTATGTCTCCCTAATTATAACGATTTTAAATTCAATTTCATTCATTTAAATAACATTGAAATATAATCTGAAGTTTAATGTTTAAACAGAGGATTAAGTGACATTTTATTCAATACACATTTTAATAAAAATACAATTTAATGCTTATATTATTGATTATATTTATATATCCGTGATTAGTGAGTCTATGAAACAAAATATATAAGTTCATTAAAATTTGTAAGCAACGCTTTATTGTCAGTGAAGTGCACTAATATAAATATGTGACAATAATTTACTTGATATTTTTGTAATATACAGTACATTAACAACAAGAACAAAATGATTGACAGATAATATTAATTTAATTGACATTGCTATTTTATATATCGATTGAGTTGCGAATAAATATATGTATTTTGAAAACTATATTATAAAATGATTAAATAAACACAAAATTGTTGATGTAATCAATGAATTTCACTGAACTTCCGGCAAATATCGACCAAACGATTGGTACATAGATTTGTGGCAGAACTGGACGGCATATACGGGAGGTCTGAGCAGATGTGAGGGGTTCGACAGAATCGAGTTCTCGTCGATTGCCTCCAGAATATCCATGTGTTTCTCGGCGGTCGAGGGCCGGGGAGGTGTGCACAGCCTTT